GTATATTTTGGCCCCTATGGGCATGTGCCTTTTAATGTTTTTTTTTTTTTTTTTTTTTTTTTTTTTGTCATATGTGGAATAAAAGTTAAAATTAACATAAGTGAAAAAAATATAACATTACCAAGACATATTAAGAAAGACCTTGTGCCATGTGAACTTCTAAAAACATGCCTTATGAACTCTACCTCTCACCTACTCCATGTTCTACTTTTTATGAACCTCCACAATGGCTGAGATGGTAGTAAAGGGCAAATGCACCAGTAATTAACACTTGTTACTTTTTTGTCGTGTGCTAATCACAAATTCAATTTATGTACCTGTTATTTTATGAGACCGATACAATAAAAAGGAAAACTAATTCTGAAAATAAAGGAAATGGATTGAGGTCCTTTTTTCACAAATAAAAATCTAAAAGGCATGACATGAATTTTTAGAAAAAAATATATGGGAAACAATTTGGTCCACAGATGTCCAAATGGCAAAAAAACAAACAAACATGCATTATTTATTTTCACTTCAAAAGTACTTTGTACTGGCCAATCACAGAAAAATTCAGTAAAATACACTGTAATTTGTGCCTGTGGATTCAGCAAGGTACTGTAAATGTCTGTTTAGTAACAGACCTGGTCATCAATTGGCCAGTAGCATTAATTATATCTTAGGAATGTCCCAATAGGTCAAAACTGTCAAAAAGGTGAAATGCTTTTTAATGTACAAAAAGCTGAAGAAATGATCCCACCTCAAACTGCAAGTATTTTAACTCAAAATGTCCTTGTACCTCACTCACTTTAACTTCAAAACCAATGTGAACAAATGTGGATAATTTTAGAAATAAATCATGTAACCTCCAATTAAACTGGCTTGAAAGTGACTGACCTACTTTATCTGCCAAAGTGCAAATGACCCTCACAGACGCCTGTGGCATCAAAGACCCCCTGCGGTCTTTAGCAGTGGGTGGCGGAAAACAGTGTCCTCGCGTTCTCTTATGAACAAACTAATAAACACACTCAGCTATTTGAACAAGTCCTGCTTGAGGTCATGAAGAGATAACACTCATTAGGTTACATCAAAAATAACGACTATGGTAAACAGTCAGCTTAAGCTGACAATACTGGGAATTCACTATGTTATGAAATTTGTTGCATGCTAATACTTACAGCTGAAACAGAGCATTACAGATATTTTTCTGCTGTTATCATATTTAACATGATTTACCTACAGAAAGCAACATGTTGGGAGATAAACCACACCATTTGTTGTTGTTTTTTTATGAGCAAAATTATTAATTTGTTGAAAAATTAACAAGATGCTGGTAACTGAGAGATCAGAAGTTACTGACGCTATTGGAAACTAACTCTTCACAATAAGGAAGACATGTTTCTGTTGCATCAAGGTTGAGAATCCTCAGGTTTCCAGCAAGAACATATGGCAATTGGTTGTTTCTGGAATGCATGACCAGGCAAATTGTTAACCAAAGGTGAGACATGGTTATAATTCACATCACATCTTGAAATATCAAACAATGGGATATCACATACAAACACATTTCTTGCATCCCTCTATGTGGACTTACAGAGTTTTGCAGATGCTCCCATAGCTTTATTAATTCGGACATTTAGTCACGGATAGTTCTGCAAACATCTGTGCATTCCGTGCGTGCTAATTTAAAATGATATATGACAACTACACAACAGCAAGACAAACTCCTGCTGGGAAAACAATTGCCTGCAGATTTTTTTTCTACAGAACTGTTTTTCATTCATCTAGCCTTTGCTTTTCTGTGTTACACAAAAATGTTCAGTCTCTTGTGTGGAAAATGCACATTTATATTGACCTGAATTCTCATAGTTTGACAACTGTTTTTTATTTTTTTTTATTTTATTTTCCTCACCAATATGCAATCAAACTTCACAATCAAGCATAAGTTTCTAGTGTGTTTTCATGCTACTGATGTTATCATCATAATATATGACGTGTATGATGTAGTGCTTTAAACTCATATTTAAAGCACCACATTTACTGATCACATCTAAACCCATACTGGCTTCCGAGTAACCATGTTTTTTTTTTTTAAACCTTTTTCCACTCTAATGTAAGAAGAAGATCAATGATATTCACTCAACAGTGTATTTATTGGGTTTGTTCAATGGCTTCTTAGAAAAAATACCCAATTAGTCAGACACGTGAATCCAACTTGGTACATCTACACATAGTATAGATGATTTGCTAAAGTAAAAAGAAGGGAAAAGAAAATAAAAAAACGAGCATCAGAATTATGAAAAAAAGGGAATAAATTTACTTTGAATGAGGGTTGGTTGTTGGTGATCTGAGAAGTTTAGAAATTATTTATTTACTGGGACTTTCCACACGCAACCATCTCTCGGTTTTACAGAATGGTCCAAAAATGGTAAATTTTGTTAACAGTTGTGTTTACTAAAATGCCTCATTAAAATCAGAGATCAAAGAGAATTGGGGAGATTGGTTTAAAAAGAAAGAAAAAAAAAGTTTCAAATAACCACTTGTCACAACCGAGGTATGCAGACCACCACCTCAGAATGCACTACATGTCGTACTTGGAAGCAGATGACCGACAGCAGCCGGAGACCACACCGAGTGCCACTCCTGACAGATAAGAACAGGAAACTAAGGCTACAGTGGCACAGGCTCATCAGAACAACAGAAAAAATTTAATTTAAAAAAAAATAAATAATTGTATTCCACCTTGAGTTGCATCAGTGGTAGAGGGCGTGGTGGTGTAATAGATACTTTGTTGGCACTCTGAGCCTCTTGGTACCAACAAAGCATTGTTCAAACACCACAGCCTGCATGATTGTTGTTGCTGTCCATAATGTATCCATCACCTTTATTGAGGCAGGGGAAACAGGATCCAGCACAGCATTTCTTTCTTTCCTAAATAAAGGGTTTCATTACTACACTATGACTGATCTAGAAAGAAGCTCTAGTTATCTACATCCTGGGCAGCTTTCCTTGCCGGCTCATACATCTTGAGTTCTTTATCTCGACTTCAAAGAAATGTCTGTCAGTTTTAGCTGTGATGCAATTCCAACTGACTGTAATGAAAAACAGTTCATAAAATGGTTAAATTTCACGGCTCGGTTGGGGGTTTTCTAACGCCCACAAACAGTTGACAGCATTAAAGAGGGTCCCAGCACCACAAGAAAGAGTTTAGCGATGTTTCTGGCATGGCTATTGTGTTTCTGTGATTTTTTTCAGCCCACCACTAAGGGTTTCCTCTTGGCTAACTAATGCTGAATGTTGAGGGGGGGAGCAAAATATTTTTACAACTCCGGGATGGCTCGTGCATTTAGCAGAGGAGGAAACTGAGAAAATATGTTTAAAAGAAATTCCTGTCTGCACAAAAAAAAAAAAAAAAAAACACAGACAGATGTAAACTTTTTTTTTTAAAGTCCCAGAACTCGTTTTTATTTTCCTCCCTCAGCTTTCTCCCTCATTCAAGTGCTGTTCTACTCCCAGAGGCTTGAGGAAGAGCCATGTTCTGGCGCAACAAGTCCTCAAAAGTGCCTCACTCGCTGTGGCACACCATATCCCATGCTAAAATAACGGTTCGCCCATCAAGTACCTGCCGGCGGCATTAAAAACCCTTATCTGAACCGCACACAGCCTTGCTGCGTCTACGTGGCAGGTATGCTTTGATTATCTACAGATGCCTACATTATTCATGCGGGGTGTGCGAAAGAAGATGGAATAGTTTCAAATGCAGAAAGAGAAAAAAATAAAAACAGTTTTCCGCACTTTATGCATCAACTGTAAATTCATCAGAAGTGAAGATACTGAACATTAATGCTTACAGTTTGATGATGTCCAGTGGGTTTTCTAAGGTCGTTTTAGGGATCCTGGATGTCCAAGTCAAGTTCGATTCGAAAGCCCACTCTGCATGCGCAACTCCTCTGTCAAAGCCGCCGCAAATAGGACTCCAAATCCAATAAAGAGACAGGTAAACCTTTCATTTTATGTCCAAATACCAACACAGTCCCCAGTCTAACGCGTCCTATCGGTACATTAGAGGTGTTAGTATTTTTTTGTTGTTACTTTTCTTGATTCCTACGCTGGCTTAGGATTTTCCCCAAATGCAGTCGACTTGATGCTCTCCGCTCCGGCTCCGTGCCTCTCTGTGCTGGCGCGTCTCTCTCCTTTCCTCACTGAACGACTGCCACACACAAACACACACACACCCGCACACGCACACGACACACACGCACTGATACACAGAGCACGAGAAGGGGTGTGACGTCACATACACGCACTTGCACAGGGTATTAAAAGATGCCACAGCTGAGGATCGTTGCGCACCTTTATTTAATCAGTTTAATGAGTAAAACATCTCTTTTCGTTTGCCTTTTTCAGGTCGACAAAAGAGAGAGTTTGTTGTAAATCTGTTTCGAGTTAACGCAAGTGAAGACATAAGCAACAAGTGCATAGACGTTGTCAAATATGTAAAAGCCCGGCTACCAAGAGAATATCTGAGTCGTTCTCTTCTCCCTGCCTAATTGGAAACACATTTTGTCAGCAACTTGTAAAGAAAAAAAAAAAAAGACAGGAAGAGGGCTAAGAGGGGTGGAGTGAGAAAGAGATGAAAAGCAACCATGAGACTTACACAGGGACAAACTGACAAATTAACATTGTTATTATTGTTTTATAAAGTGTCCTTCAGCCTGGACTTGGTGCTGCTGTCTCTGAAAGTAAAACTTTCACATGTGGAGATCTCAGAGTGTTTGGCAAAAGAACAGCTATGTCTGCACAATTCACACCATCTGTGAACACTTAGTGAGGTGTTAGGACTAAACCAACCAACGTTTTTGCATGAGTATTACTATCAGAGGATGACCATACATCCTCCACTGCGCTAAATATTTAGTATGAAGTGTTGATTTGATGCATTTTTTTCTCTTGACAACATGGCAATCAGCAGTCAAACCTTGTGAGAAGCTCTCTGTATTGGAAGACATTGCATTTAAATTGCTTTCATAATATTTACATTTTATACAGTTTCAGGCAACAAGACTGCACCTTAACAGAGAAATGGGAAACACATATTTGGTATTTAATATTATATGTGAGAATGTCTCTTAATTAGTTTTTTTCTAACTCCACCTACAAACACGGCTACTGTCTATATACTGGTAAGTTTATCATTGCTTCTCAAAAGTCATTGCTGATGTCTTTCCTTCATAGCATTGTGTTAGCACGAACCTAGTCGCATCTTCTGATGGTAGGTAATGAAAGTGCATTTATTTAACAGCACCTGGCTGCTTCTTTCAGTCTTAAGTTTGATGTAATAAGTAAGGGTGGACTTTGTTTTTCTCAGGACTTTATTGAATACCATAGTATTCATTTTGTAAGCCTTCTGAGTGAGGTATAAAAGTACAGAGATCACTCCATTTGACAGAAATGCTATTGTTAGAATCCAAATCTCTCTGAACTCGGCCCAAAGCTCAGTGTGACTTCAGTTTGTGGCCTTCATCTTCTCTTGTATTCCTTCGTGGTTTTGGCTCAAAACCTAGAGAAGTTTGCATAGTGAAAATGGCAAAATGCGGTTTATGAAAAGATACATCACAATACATTTCATCAAACGTGAACACCAAAAATTGGATGGCATCCCCTGCAAAGTCACTTTAAGAGTAGTGAAGTGCAGCCAAGGTTTGCAGAGGAATGACAGCAACCACAAAGAAGTCAGTGATGATGGGGCTTTCAGGAGGGGAGGCGGCGGGGGGATTTGTTTGCTTTGAGTGATTTGTAGAAATACTTCCATAACCACTGTGCTGCATTTGGGCTTGTGTTGTTACAGAAGCCCCTCTATTTCACACGAGTCTAACAGACCAAATTTAAACCATGGTGTCCCACAATGAAAGGCAAACATCTATGTGTTGGCCACAGAATAATCCCACCTACTGTGCTAGTGGAAGCCCATGCTCACACTGCTGCAGGCCTATGTATGCTAAGCTGTGCTCCTGTACAAATGTTACTTTTTTTTTTTTTTTATCTGAAATTATTATGACCCAGCTACCTCCCAGAAGTACTGTGAAGCAGAAGTTGATTATTAATGACTTCTTTTAAATGAGGAATGTCGAGTTTGCGTATGCATGGTAAATGTGTTCTGCAAAATTTATAGAAATACATTGTGAGAAAAAATTAAACATTAGGACATCAACATTTAGAACATTTTAAATTTGGTTCCTGAAAGATACAAATAAAACAAAATAACGTTAGACTACACAAATAACAGTTGCATTACACATCCTATAGTTTGTACTCGTTATAAATATAAACATTGTCTTGAAATCAGATGAATCTTTTTTGCAGAATACTAATCTCACACAGGAAGCTTGAAATTCATACTGCAGTGTTTGCTCAGAATGAGGAAATTTCTCAAAGTTAATCACCTGATGAAATCCACCGATTACTGTCGCTAACTGATTGGGGTGGGGATTTCTAAAAAGTCTGTCACTCAATTCACTTGGCTGGGTTTCCTAATACATAACTTTTTTTTTTTTTTTACATTGGAGTTTTGGTAGTTTTTATCAATAAAATCATCATTTGAAATCTTGTATTTACTTTGGCTATCGTTGATGTTCAACACACACAAACACAGCCATCAACAGATACCACAGGGTTTAGCTTCATCTCTGAGATTAGATGGTCCAAGGGCTTAAGGAGGAAAAACCATTTGTCAGGCGACCAGAAAACAACCTGAATCTTTTAAATTCATACAACAAAATAATTTACCACAGACTTCAGAAAGAAGAGACAAGACCACAACCCTTCCTTGAAACCGGAGAGCATTTGGAAACTGTCATAACCTCAGATTCCCGGGCACTCTCGTCTCGGCCAGCCTCTACCGGTCCCACAACACCAAGGCCTTTGTTGAAGTCCAGCAAGTGATACATTTTCTGCGTGTCCTGAGGAAAAACGATCTGAACGAGAAACTGCTGCTGGCCTTCTGTCATGCCTGCGCTGGGAGTGAACTAACATGCCGTCTTGGTTTCTGGAACATAAGCTCTACAGCTGAGGACATGGAAGGCTTATGTTACTTCCTTCCACCATTTTGAGATCTTTAAAATTAGCCACTCCTACAACGACTGCTAGTCTAGACCTAAAAGACGCCACACTGTGTAAAATTTGATGGACACCGAGTTTTGTGCGAGGACAGCGTCAGTAATGAAGACCGTTTACATTAGACTGTGGTTAAAATAGTTATCGAGGAAGCCGGGCATTCTTCTGCAGACACATGAATCAGTAGCCCCAACTACATGCATTGTTTCTAAGGCGGCACACCCACTGACATTTGCAGCATCTGGTAACATTTATAGAGGTGTTGGTAGTAAATAAAACCACCCTAATGTCAAGAATCTAAGAGAACAGTTGTACGCCTTGAAGAAGGAGATTCATTTCCTTGAAGAAAATGATCCCTGTTACGCCAAAAAAAAAAAGGAAACTGGAGTTTTTATACAAGCCCAATAATACATACACTGTAGTTTGTTTGAGATGATTTGTCTGTGATAGTTTTCTACAAAAAAAATCAAGGTAGAGTCAAAAAAAATCAAGGTAGAGTCCAGATCCTTATTTGATTCAGTTTGACTTGCTGATATAAATCTCAACATGAAAAAAATATCCCCACATAGCCTCTTTTACTCCACTAGGAGCTCCAGTGGGCGTCAATTGAGATAGATGATGTTTATGAATGTCTCTGTGCTGCTATTTGTTACTCAAAACCACCAACTGCACTTTGTGAAATACTGCCAATACTGTAGGTCTAAAAAAACAAAATAGCTAAAACATGTTTTTTTATCGAGAAGATACAGTTTTCTTGTCTTTAGCTTCCTATTGCAGCTCGTGATAAATAGTAAGGGCCATTGGGCATAAACCCTCAGTTTGAGCAGATGGTGGAAAAACAAGCCATTATGTAAGGTTCACTAAATCACCTAGTAAACACTAGACCAGGAATAAAGACTGTTGGAAATGTAGTCCCGTTGCCTCAGCACTGCAGGAACTTTGCTGTCTCTTCTTGACTGGAGCTCGGCGGCTTTTTTATTTATTTTTTTACTGAGTTATGTCTTGTTGCATCATTTTGTATTACAAAATGCTACTTTTGTGTATGGACATTTACCCTATGTTTTTTTTTTTTTTTATTTGGGGGGGGGGGGGGATTTCAAGCTTTCCCTTTGTCCTAGTCTTGCAAATTTTCAGTCAAAAAACTCTTCTTAAACAATTTCCCGGTCTGGTGTAGACGTGCAGGTGCTTTGAAGGAAATGTTTGTTCAGCTCCTACTTTTGAACCATATTTTTAATAATCCACTGGCTTTAAAAATGTTTTAAAGATGTCCCTAAAAAACGAAACAAAATCCAGTGCAACCAGTTGATTTCATTGCTAATCCTGAAAATCTCAAATTTATTTCATCACCCAAACATAGAGAGGATGACACAGTGGCACAACTTTTATTTATTTATTTTTTTAATTTAATCAAAGTTAACAGGAAGATGGATGGAACTAAATATGAGACAATCCTGGAAGAAAAGCCAAAAATGACTTGGGACAGGTTCAAGGTTTACCTTATAGCAGGAGAACAGACAATATTTTGAGATGGAACAGACTTAATTTTATCACAGCAAAACATTGTTTCAAAAGTATTAGCCTAGCTGGGCTAAATATTAAGCCACACCACAGTTTTCAGATTTTTCTTCTGTCAAAGGAATTGTTTTTTGCACCCCTTTGCATTGGCTTATTAAATAAAGTCCCAGTATAGTAAAATAGAGAGACATTTGTGATTATTAATAAATTTTTTTAGCTCACTGTGTGTTGCTCACACAAACATAATGTCTTAAAAAGGTACTCATTCTCTGTCTTCCTCTCTCTTTGTGACATTTAGCTACACACATGAGCAGTTGACATTTTCAGTGGGTTTATATTAGATAAAGGTCTCTTCCTTGCATTTAGCTACAGTTCTGATCATCATAACCCCACTGCAGTTCTCAGAGATAAGTAAGGTCGTAACTGTGTGCTTTAAAAGGCAGGTATTAATTAACATGACACACTGACACCGTACTGAATGTGAGATAACTCAAAGCAAAAGCATACAGAGTATAAATAAGTCTAGACCAGCGAGAGATGAAAAAAGAGACAGAGGCTCAGAGGTTTGGAAAGAGAGTTGAGTTTCTGTCTCAAAGAGCAGAGGGGGTTAGTTTGGGTGAAATGGAGGGAAAAAGGAG